CTCGTAACTGATATTTTAGAATACTATAACAAAGTGATCAAATACGAATATTACAAGGTCTGAAATACTGAAAAACAAACAAAAAATATATATTCATTTTTTCTTCGAACGATCTAGAAGTAATAAACATGTATTTATTTATTCGATGTACTAGATCACTTTCAAAGGACAAAAAAAGCATATTTTTAATTTAGATTTCTTTATACAAGAGGCTAAACGTACAGACATAAATGTTCGTTCTGAACTCTTTAACAACTGTGTATCGAATAATAACTTTTATGTGTATAATTATCTCACCGCATATTAAAAGTATCGAGTCAAAATGTCATTTATGACTCAATTTTTTACTTTTTAGATAACCATTGAAAAATTGTTTTCTAACTTATATATTCAAGTTATATTAAAGATTATTTACGAATGCTATATGTATCATTATGATAGATATAGATAAGTAAATCCGCTAAAAACTTATGTTTCCTAAAGTCGATGCTTTGTAACAATATACTTTCTGTTAAAAAAGCAGCTATTTCATGTCATCTATTCTTTGCTTAGTTTTAATAATCTCTTTTTTTCGATGAAAATAATGATCGCTGTTGAATAAAACAATAACTTTATCGTAACAATCGATTTAAAAGAGCTACCAAGAGAAGTGACAACTATCTATAATCAAATTTATTTACCGCGGGGTGCTTCTGTTGTTGACAACGAGGTTGTTGATGATGATGATGTAGATGACGTTGATGTTGTGGCTGTTGAAATCAGAGTCACATCTACCTCGGAAAATAATAAATTTTACACTAATTAAAAAACAGTTACAGTGAATATTGAATTTAGATTTAACTCCTACTTGTTTTGTCTCTTATCATACTTTGTCGTCGTTGGAAAAATCATTTTGCTCAAACTATATTCAAATATCCACACTCTTTCCATATATGCAAAAGAGTTTAGTCTTTCTCTCTTCGTTTTAGTTCTCCTATTTCTGAAGTTTGATTAAAAAAAGAAGATAAGTCATGAATATGAAAAAATCATTTGTTAGAGAGAATAATACTTCTGCACTTTTACTTATTCATCCCTAATTATAGTCTCTGATCGACTCTCTTATTCATTCCATAATTTAAATTGAGAATTAATAAACTATTCTATCTATGTATCATTATATTGAATACAATCCAGGTGGATATCGTGTTCCAATCATTGTCATCATTGTTACAACATTTATTTCATCCGACATATTTCCATTTTGATTTAATGAATTATTAAATAATTGACACTGAAAAGTTGATCTATAGAAAGTAGCTACCATACATTGATTTTGTTTTAAACAATTGATTTGACATTCAAGAATATTTTATGTTGTGAGATTATAAAATGGTAATCAAGTTGATTGAACACATTGAAATATTTTATCATTGATTATTATCATTTGAACAGATCGAATATTATCTGGCATTGTTTGTGTAACAAACATCAATAATAAAAGTAGAGGGACACTTATTAAAGTCATCTTCATAACAAGTGTTCAACTGATGAAATGAACAAAACTAAAAGGAATATATATTATATAAAACTTTCTTTCTTTTCTATATTTCTTTCATTAGTTAATTGAGAAACTGTATATTCATAACTTTTCTCCTATACTACACGTATGTTACATACCAGACTCAGGCGAAGAGAAGCAAACAGCGTCGCAATTTTCATGCTGAAAAATTAATCTTTGAATGTGAAAGAGGAATAAATCTCTCGATTTATTTTTAAATTATTGACTCTCAAAAATTGAAATGTAATTTTAGTTTTCCTATTGCAATGATAATAGAATATTTTAAAGGAGAAAACGATCGACAATTGAAAGATAAGACGAAGAAGAAAATTGCTTAAAAGAAATAAAAATGTATTTGTTAATTACATGAAAAAAAAAGAAGATATAAACTTTATGAAATAATAACTGAAGATGTATCTTCGATATATATATAAAGAAGAAAGTTTGTCTATTTGTTCGCTATGCATTCAGTACCTGTAATGGCTATCGGCGTCAAACTTTCCACGATGCTTCCACGAGCCCAGAGAAAGATCGACATCTAATTTTTTCCGAAAACAAATAAACGAGGCATTTGCTACAGGCAATTTATGAAACTGACCAATAGGATTGCGAGATTTCCAAAATTGAGAAAATTAATAGTGAAGGCGGCCGAAGGGCGTCTGAGCGCTCAAAGACAACAATCCGCGTGTTCTCTACGCCTATGATGGTTCGGTGAATGCTACAGATAGTCTGCGAAGCTCACCAATAGCGTTACAGGATCTCAAAAGATTAAGATAAATGTTGAAGGTGGGTGAATTCGAAGGATATAAGGTATGAAATTATGTGAGACTGAGAAAGAGGAAATTTTCATAATTTCGGGGGCAGAAATTAGCTTCGGTAACTCTTTTGCATAAAAAGATATAGCTAAAGCTGCCATTTTATGCGATGCACGGCGGGAAAATAAGGACTGGAAGCGTAGAAATTTGAATTATATTGATTTTCTACCTGTTCTAGCTCTTCAACATGTGAGATGTTCGACATAGATATTTCTTATTCGCAGTGAGTACTCTCTGTAGTACACATATAAAAGAAACCTTTTGATAGATATTCATTTCTTTTTTTTGTCTTTTTAAACTATAATGTTTTCATCCTATTATGATGATTATGTGACTTGGGTCGTACTGTCGCGTCTACGAAACAAAAGTGATTAATTAGGAAATAGTCTCAAGACACCAAGGCTTGTGTATTCAGTCAATTACAATGATTAACAATCATTGTGTTTGAATGAACAAATTGTTCTTTGAAACCTACTACAGTAAAAATTTTGTATTGACGTCAGTCTCTTTGGAAATTATATTCACAATTCCAGAGAGAGAAAAGAAGTAATAAGAGTGAAAGACTTCATGCGAGTTATTAGAAACTATATGCGTCCGAAGACTAAATCTTTACTGAACTAATTTCAAGTTTCTACTTGAAGGACACTTCTTTATAAGAGAAGGTGAGAACAGTATTGATTAGATAAATTTCACGATAAAAATTCGACCTATTTTCGTATTGCAGTTTAGTATTGAAGAATAGTTTTTCGAAATTATTTTTCTATTAGATTTCGAGAGTTAAATAAAATTAATAAATGTGTGACCTTGTGAAATAATTGAAATGAAATTTTATCTAAGAAATACTCAAGATACTAGTACTTCTTTTCATGCACTTTGATACAAATAATATAATTAAATGAGGTACATAGTAAAAACAGCTGAAGGAAGTGAAACAAAAAGTAAATGTTGATATTCTTAGTAATTACTTAAGAGAAGTTCGCTTATGTTTGTTCCCTCTATTGAAAGGAGGGTAGTGCGTCGAGCTGATATCACCGAAAAAACGAGTTGATGTTCGTTCGTTTATTTTCTTACAATATTTCCTAATACTAGTTCATAGTAGTAAGGGTTGACCGAAGGGTAATCGGGGTCGAGGATCACGAGTGGAAAGTCAGCTTCTTTCTACTCAGTCCGATTTCGCAGAATAAAACAGTTTGGGAAGTTGATGTGCAAATTTGAAGCAAGAAAAAGTTTATTTAACGGATAAAGTAAGTTTTTTAAAAGTCGTTTAGAACGAAGAAGCTATTGAAAAAACAACAACCAAGTTAATAGAAAATATTCTCTAGTTGTAGTCTGAATAGCAGCAAAAATTTTCTGATGTTTCTAGTATGAGAAAAGCTCTCGTGCATCGAAAATATGTTTCACAAGTTGCTTGCTTTCGCATATTCTAATAAAGGATAGGAAACAGATAAAATAATTGGATGATTAAGATGGTTGGTTTTTAACACTAAGTGGCTGTACAAAGAGGATTGACTAACGACCAGAATGGTGCTTTGTAGGGGTGGACCATTTCCGTTAATTTCCACTTAATTAAGTGATTTACGTATAAGAAACATCTTCTATTACTTCAGACGCTATTGTAGATCCATTCTGACTCCGCATCTATAGATTCATGAACGAAAACTCAAAGGTCCATGATTAATGTCGCACAACCGGAGTAAAACACTGTCTACTTGAAAGAAAATTAACAACCAATGCAGACCTCTGGAGGTGAAAAAAAAACGTCCTTTTATAAGGCCTCCCTAGTCGATTTTCAGCGAAAATAAGCTTTTGAAAAAAAATCGCGGGAATACGTCTTGGAATAAAGGCTTTTTCCAAGACTGGTTCCCACGATAGCATTAACCTGAGAGATGAGTATCTTACCAGGGTACATGTAATTAATGCTGGGTCGTATAGATAATTAGTTATCAGAAAGGATCATACATTATGATTATTCAATCGTTTATCAGTTAATTAAGTAGAATTAAATTAAATGGTCCACCCCTAATTATTTGACGTTTTTTGTTGTTTGTTCGCTTATCTTTCGAATTCCTGTATTGATCACTGGTGCCGCCTTGATAGCACCCACATCCTGAAGTTATATCTACCGGTCTCGATTTCTGTGCACTATCATCTTGATGCCATCGCTGTCCGTCTCTGTTTCCGAGCACCCTCACTACTGTCACCATACACCTTTGGCTGATCTAATGACTTCCTTACCCTAGATCGAACCGTATGATGGAATTGGAGGTACGAGTTGATTTGCTGTAACGACTTCGTTATCCGATATAGGGTATTATGACGTCTGACTTTCGAAGCCCGCCATAATGGTTTTATGATATCTATGATTCAAATTGTTTTTGATGAAAAGGAAAACAAATATCGTATTCGAAAAATTATTATCATTTAAGTAGGCATTTTCTTTCTAAAATTTTTCGTTTTCGTTTTTCTTAAATTGTTTTTCTCAATTCTTACGAAAAAATAGTTTACTATGCTTTGTTCATGTAATGGTTTGTCCAATTTCTAGTGGAAAGTGGACAAAAAGTGTAAAATACAAATCACACTTGCTGCCCAAATTCCTTTTGTTCAAATGTCATAGTTTATTATAAACTGCCACATATAAAAATCTTTTGTTAAAGACGTGCGAATTTTAAAACTCGATTATTATATCGATCTGAAACATACAAATTAAGTTGACTGTCCAATGCAACTGCATAAGGATTGTTAAGTAAAGAGGTATTAGCTCCGCTTACACCAGTTGTACCAACAACAGTTTTTCCAGTTGTTTGACCAGCTAAATAGAATTGTACTCGATGATTATATCGATCTGCAACATACAAATTATTCGTTGGATCGAATACTACACCCTCTGGTGTATTAAGTTGTGTTGCTGAACTTCCCGGTGTTCCTGAAAGGCTACCTACAATCAGAGTCCAACTACTGGCACCTAATACCCATCGAATAATGTTATGACATTCACTATTGACAATCACAAGACTGTTTGTTGATGTTTCAAAAAGCACGCCAACAGGTCTACTTAATTGTGTAGAACCACAGCCTTGTCCGTTGTTACCTGCAACAACCGTGCCCGATGATGAGCCATATAAGTAGCACATGATACGATCGTTACCAAAATCGGCTATATAGAGTGTATTCGAATTTGTATCAAGTGAAATTCCATATGGAGAATCCAATTGATTATTTCCACTACCATATCCACCTAGCAAAAACTTAGTCAATTATAAGCTTAAGGCCCACCCCCACCCACAAAAGGTCGATTTTTGTCAAATTTATCGATTTTTAAAAAAATAGTGCATGTGATAGAGCATCACACTTGCTATCGAATGCACTATACTTTGCTTTGTGTGCGATGGTTTTTCGTGGTTTTCCAAAAAATTCCTCCCAAAAAACTAAATTTTTCTTCCAACAATTTAATGTTTTTCCAATCTTAAAATACGATAGTAAAACATGTTTTCTTCGATTTCGCAAAATCTACACTTCCAAAAAGTATTTTGCATTTTTCTCGGAATGAGAGTTTTAGTTTTCGTGCGTCCCAGATTTCTCTATGATTTTGAAAGCGGGAAATCTCAGGTTGGTTGTAAAATGTAGCCAACATACGGGGCTACAACTTAACAGAACCTGATTTTTCGATTTCATGATAGATATCAGATGAGGGGGAAATGTTCGAGAACCTACACTCTCCTAATTTCGCATATTGACGTAGAAATTTCTTAATAGGTAAGCTAAAGAAATATTAAAAAATCAGGCTCTGGTACAAAATGGAAGTAAATGTTCTTGAATCAGATACAGTCGTTTACCTGCACCAGCAACTGTTGTACCGGATGATGCACCCTTGGCCCAATATTGTATACGATTGTTAAGTCTGTCTGCGATATACATATTTCCATTTGAATCAAGTTGAACACATGTTGGCTCATTTAAAAGAGATGCAGTAGAACCTGATGTACCGTATGTACCTGCTAAGGTAGTAGCATTGGTTGCATTCATGGGTAACTTTAATATACGATGATTTAGCCGATCAGCAATATAAAGTGTATCGGATGAATCAAATATTAAACCCCACTGATTATTGAGTTCAGTAGCTCCAACAAGAACTGTACCTGTTGAACTCCAGTTACCAACCGATATTGTAACTATAAAACAACAACATGAAAATATATGTCAAGCAACTTGGATTATCAGTTTTTTCCTCTAGATATCAACTAAGACTTCTACTGATACTTCTCGGGATTCTGTCAAAAAATAGTAGTTAAATACCTTATCAATTTCTAGAAAGACATAATTTTTCAAAAGTACTATAACTGTAGTTAATGACTGAATCGTGTAGATGCCAATTGAAGGGCGTATTCAATTATTTGACAACACAAAACAAAATCGACGTAGTTTTCCATCTATTCTCATCCTTAATACAAAGAAAAGAGAATGGTGGCGTACCTGATGTCGTAGTTGATGTTATGGTAGTTGTAATTGTCGTCATTGATACAGTTGTAGTTGGCGTCATTGATACAGTTGTAGTTGGCGTCATTGATACAGTTGTAGTTGGCGTCATTGATACAGTTGTGGTAACAGTAATTGATGCCGTCGTAGGCGCAGTTGTGATAACAGTAGTTGATACCGTTGTAAATGCAGTTGCGGAAGTTGCTGTTGGTACACTGGTGAAAGTGGTCTTCGAAATCGTTGTCGTAGTGGATGGATGTTTTATTAACATACCAATAAGAATTGCAGCAATCGCTGTGCACAGAAACAAGAGACCTAGTATTCCAAGGAATACACAAGGACACGAGCATGGACATGGATAACAACGAAGATAAAAATGTCTGTAATACGGAAGGAAAATAATTCATTAGCAAAATATGCAAGAACTCACGGATTCCGTTTCTTATGAATTTCGTTACGACGTCGTTTATTTGTTAAACCAATTTCATGGGGCGGGGAGATTCTCAGTGACTTCCCAAAATGGTATGGATTTTTACTACGTTTTTCCATTCCCTGAAGTTATAAAGTTTAAGTAAATATCGAAGTAAATATCATCAATCTATAGTATAGTGCACAATTATTTCTTGGCAGATATAGTTATATGATGTTACCATGTTTTCCATTTAGAAGAGAGTCTACGATACCATCATCCAAAACTGGTGTCCCTCAAGATTAGTTCTTCAAACAAGATGGCTGCCTTGTGCAGGTTTTGAGAAAAATCTCGGTTGATTTTCGAGGAAAATGTATTTGACACAAATTATGTTTTATGCAAAACACTAGCGATTTTTACTGTGAAATTTTGCGTTTATGTCTATAATATGCATGTTCGCTTCGAGTGTCTAGTATAAGTTTTATACATCATTTAGTAAGACAAATTTTGTTTCAAAATATTAGAAAAGCCTCGAAAAATGTGAGATAACATTACTGTTATATGCGAATTTTGATGTTTTCATGAAAAATGCACCTTCTCATTTTTTACTTTTGACGGTACATTTTGTATAGAAAGTTCGAAATATATGAACATGTGATAGATTGCTGCAAGAAAAGCGATGAGGATTCTCTTGTCTCAACATTTCTAGCTGACAGTTAAATGGAAAAGAATGAGAAGGTGCATTTTTCATGAAAACATCAAAATTCGCATATAACAGTAATGTTATCTCACATTTTTCGAGGCTTTTNAAAAATTTTTCTTACTAAATGATGTATAAAACTTATACTAGACACTCGAAGCGAACATGCATATTATAGACATAAACGCAAAATTTCACAGTAAAAATCGCTAGTGTTTTGAATAAAACATCTTTTGTGTCAAATACATTTTTCTCAAAATCTGCACAAGTCAGCCACCTTGTTTTAAGAACCAATCTTGAGGGACACCAAGTCCTCGACATTTTGTGTAGCGAACTTATGTATCCTCTGTTAAAATACTTCATCTTGGATAAAAACTGGAAACTAAAGGAACATTAGGAATTAAACAGTCCCCCACATTACAAGATCCTTCCATAACAAACGATTCCTCTGGCAGAAATATATATCGCATTAACAATTAGATTCGATTAATTAAAAAATTCTTCTCTTTCATTTTATTTTAGTTTAATTGAATTATCTTTTGTATTCTTAATACGCATTGATTCAATAAATAAATAGTGAAACAGAAAAGTAGCTTTTTTACAGGTTGCCTGAAACTAAGCCAACAAAATACAAATAATCAGAATTTTTTGTTCTACTCATTGTTACAAGAAAATTAAATTTTTTCATGGTTTCTCCTCAAACAGCAGACCTTCATGAACAGATGAGAAACACAAAGTACTGAAAATTTTCAGATCTCATACTTATTTTCTATTATACAAGGAAAGAAAAGAATAAAATTGTCAATTACCTGATAGTCAGTTAGTCCCGTGGTTCTTAATTTACCATTCACAATGGCTGAGTTTGTTTCTTGTTCGAATCCGTTACTAGTATCTGATTTTTTTGATGATCTCTCTGAATAAATTTCATTAGTTGAATTAAATAGAGCCTAGATATTAAAACATATTTAAGAATAGAGATAATCACGCATTTATAACCGAATCTACATTTCTTTGGTTATTGAATGATTCCTCATTTTGTACAACACGATATTTTCGTTCGGATTTTATTGTTGCATGAATTGAAGGATTAGTCGGAGCATCATTTTGCGTTGAATGATTAGTCTAGTTGAGATAATCGAATCCAACAGTATTAGAATTAATACAAAAGGTAATACTTGTTGATCGAGGAAGTGGCCTCTTTGACGACGAGAAACTTTCATCACACGCACTGTAAATGATCAAATTTAAAATGTAATTTACAATGATATAAAGTGACAACGTTGTATCGGTTGTTCTGATCGTAATAAAACTGCCACGATACTTCAGTTCTTACTTGCGAAGAATCAGGTGACTATTGGTATTTTCTGGCTGATCAAATGAATTACTATGATCCCTCTTGTTCGTATTATACAAACAACGCAAAAGAAAGAAAATAAAACCTTAAAATGTAAACATAAGTCTCTCGATGTATTCCTATTCGTTTCTGATGAATGAAGAACTCATTAAAAAATATTGTTTTTCAATTTTTTCTCTTCGTTATTCTCATTCGAGTTGATACTACTACCCGCTGGGCTTCTGCAATCGTATTTCATATTTTATATTTCGCTTTCTTTTTTTAAAATAACACACGATGCAAAAGAATTGGCAGAAAATGTTGGCCCCTAAATTTCCCTTGAAAAATGATTCTGAGATGTCTATATTAAATAGATGTTAGAACGTTCTTTTCTTTATTAACTGGTAGAAAATCTCTTACTTTTTGGTACAGAACACAAACTGTTCGCATTAAACGTTCGAAACGCACTCAAACAACGAAGCTGCGAGCTTTATGCTGACTCATCAAATAAATCTTGCGAAATGACAGTTTTTCATTTGAAAAAACAAACTATGTCCAAACGAATAATTTATAATATAGGGACCAAACATTTGAAATATGAACCAACTAAATGTTTACCAAAAAGTGGGAGATATTCTAGCAATTGTTAAAGAAAAGAACGCTCTAACATCTATTTAAAATAGAACATCAGATTCGACGACAAAACTAACTAGTTCTTGCAAAATATTCAAGAATTTCTGAAAAAAATGGGGCAACATTTTTGACTCGTTTGTAATTATACAAATGATGATTTGATAGAATGGCCGATAAGGTTAATGAAGATTTTTTTGAGAATCTTCTAACATGATCACCCTCAGTAATGATACAATTAGATCAAAAATAAAGATTTTATCAAATTCTCGAATTTGTCGAAACTTCATATAACAATTCAAAAGAACAAAAAAATTCTTATTGAAATCCCCGCCATTCGACGATATTACTATTTGATTTTCTCTTTCAATTCTCGGATTTTATCTTGCGCATTAGTAACCAGACAATGTCCCGGTGATACAGCTTTTCGTGCGATCTCCAATGATTTTTTATAGTAACTCAAAGCTTTGGAATAATCCCCTTTATCTTTGAATAAATATCCTAAATGTGCATAAATTGCAGCAATTTGAGGGTGATTCGATGGCAAAGCTGCTTGACGAATTTTCAATACTTTTTCATAATAAATCAATGCCAAATCATGTTGATCCAATTCACAGTAGGTTGTACCTAAAGTATCATATGTCGCAGCCAAATTCAGAGAATTCGAGGGAAGTGTTTTTTCTTCAATTTCTTTTGCCTTGTTCAAATAAATCAAAGCTTGATCATAATCATCCATCAAACGATAACTTTCACCAAGAAAACTGAAGATTTCAGCTACGTCGGGATGATTTTCTCCTAAAAGTCGTTGCCGTATTTCCAATGCTTGCTGAAAATGCTCCAGACCATCCTTTGACTCATGACATTTTAACGATGCCCATCCGAGCCCTAATTCAGCATCAGCTAACGCCAGTTGTGCTTCTCTCACCAATCGTTGGTAACATTTTCTTGCTTGTTGACTTTCATCCATCCGAATCAACAGTTTACCCAGTGTATCAAGATTTGTATCATCACCAATCTTCCCTTTCATATGAGCAAACAGCTCTTTCAGATGATAATCATCATCACTTGCTAAACTCACACGTACCACCAACATCTGATCTTTAGCATCTTCGGTAATACTTTTAATGCAAAATAAAGCTCCAAGCATAATCAATACTTCATGTTCACTTTGATAATCACTCTTTTTGCTGATATCAGCAAAAGCTTTTGTTCGTAGTTTTGGATCGATTTCAATTTCGAATAGAATCGCTCGCATTCTACTTCGACCTTGAGAAGTGCGGGCGAAATGAATCGCAACAGCTCGATCTCGACTCGTCGATAAAAACGAATTCATTGACAAAAATCCATCGATGTTATTCTTCATCAATTCCAATTCATTCATACTGATCATTTGTCCTCGATAAACTTTGATCAGACTGCGACTACCATTCGTTCGAATGAAATCTTCATAGCCATTCTGAACTTGTTTGGCGATATCAGTGATGAAACACCGAAAAGTGAATAACATATCAAAATCTTGATTCCGTAAAGCTTTGTTTATCATTCGATAAAAGCAAGCGTCTCGAGTGTACCACCAAACAGCTTCGTTGGCGGTATAATTCTTCTCGAATTCGTCGATTATATTCAACACTTCAGTATCGTTGATGTATGTTTTCTTGCAAATGTTGATCAGTTCTTTGCGATCAGTTTTCTTATGATGCATTCGCAGAAGAACTTCAATGAAGAGTTGAAACCACATGAAAGTGGCATTTCGAGCTTCTAAATTGTCAGAAGTTGAACTTATTACCGATATTAATGGGTTGTCTTCTGTTCCTGTTCGAGCACTATGATCTTTTGAAACACAGTTGATCAATTCGACGTAGGTTGTGCAAACACAACTGAGCTAAAAGCAGAAAAATCGAAAAATTTTCAACTATGATGATTTACCTTGGAATATTTCTTTGCCCATTGTTCGTTTCCTTTTTTATCTTGACAAAAGACATAAAACGAAATCAATTGTGGCAGATTGTGAACTGATGGAAGAATTTGTCGGCCAAATGTACCAGAAACGATCAGAATGAGACTTTCTTTTGTTGTTTTGCGAAGATATTTCTCACAAATGTCCGCATTTTCAAACATGCGTAGATTTTCTATAATCTGGCGAAGTTTCTTTTGAATATTTCTATTCTCTTCCGTTGAATCGACACTACTATCAAGCCAAACACAAATAAATTCATCTCGAGTATCGTCCATCTCTTTCAACGCCAAACGCAAAATGAAAATAAATTATTTTCATATCTCTGTTCTCTTTCTTCCTATCGATGTGCTTTGTCGGAAGATTTTGCCAACATGAGAGAATTTATTCTCAAAGTAAATCCTTCGGCGAAAGACCAAAATACAGAGAACAGATTATTAAAGATTTATTTTGTGATGTTTTTATATTCGCACAACACACTCCTATATCGAAACTTAAGAATATTTTCTCGTAAGAACAGATAAAAACTTGATCAATATACCAAACAGTTGTTGTTTTCAACGAAAACAATTTGTATCTGTAGGAACGATGCAAATTAGAAATTAAGGGTGTTACTTTATCTTTATTTTATAAAGAATAAAGATAATCTTTACTTTATAAATAAAGTAACGCTCGTCGAGGCAGACTCGCTTGGCCCTCGACTGAATGACTAACAGTAAACGTTTTGTCTTGCTGAAATCATTCATAAAAATTTAAATTCGACTACTATGTGCTCGTCATAGTCCTTTTTAACTTCTAATCTTTCAAGTTACCTCGTAAGTATTCCAGAAAAAGGATTTCTAATTCAAATTATAGTTGTGAAAATTTGTTCCACAACTTCTGTAATCAACTGTGTAACAAAAAATTATTTTATATTCGATTGAAACAAAGAAAAATCAACAGAAAAGAATCAATATCTGTGTAACTATGCACAACATAGTCTGACAGTAAAGTCATGTTATGTTGAAGAATATTAAAATCTAGAAATCACATAATTCAATAAAAGATAATAAAATTCAAGGAAGATTTTCAACATCATTCAATTAGACTTAATATATATTGCTATTTATCAGAATCCCTAAAAACGATCAGATTCCACAACGGATCGTTTCTAAATACCTTTGTGTTTAATCGTGCAATTTGATTATCTCATGTTTATTGATGTTGTCAATGTTTTTCAAAATACTGTATGCTAAATCAGAGATGAGAAATCATAGACTACGCTCCATGTTCTTGATCGGATAGACGATGTATGAAAAAAAGAAATGGCGAGACGTATTGTATCGTCAGAGTAATGCTGTTGATCGTAGAACCAGAAGAGGCTGAATGAGTGAATACATGAATTGCTTCGCTATTTATAGTTCAAGATGAGAATGATTCACATTAGTGATGTATGACTCATATCGCTTTATCTTTTGTTCGCCCTAGACTACTTCCTGTCAATTCTATTGATTGATGGCTATAATCATATCTCACCCTTCATTGAGCAAGTGTTTCTTTTCCGGCACCATTTTGTTATCTGTGAAGTTCATTTACTAATATCCTGTTTTCATCACGTACAAGAGATAGCACTGTTCATTTTCTTTTTCTTTCCGTTCGTTTTCTTATATGATGACTCGCTCAAACATGATGTGATCAAACATAGGGGTAGCATGTTAGCCAGTAGAAAAAAATCATATTGCTCACAAAAATAGATGGTGTTGCCAGACAGAATAACTTCAGGAAAGTTATTTCTTGCATTGTAGTCGAGCATTTAGAAGAGATGTCGAATAAGAGTAATAAATTCATTTTCCTAAAAGTGTGACTCCAATCATATCTGTTCATAGACTAGCTAAGGGTAGCAGGGCAGTACTATTATAGAGAAAAGTTGAAAAAACTAAAAGTATATTCTTTCCTAACAGGACAGCATCCTAAGGTCTCATTGACTAGTATCCATTGTGGACTGAATAAGGACAATGCTGCTATAGAGGAGTGCAGAAATCAGCCAAGAAGAAAAAGTCGTTCGAAAGAACAGACGTTGTCTTCACCTTCAGTACTGATTATTGACTTTAATTTGCTGTTATGTTTAGTAAAATAATTATGAAAAATGATTTTAAACTCTCGACATTGAAAGCATCTTTAGAATGACTTCACAGAAATCATATGATTGTATGAGACAGAGTCTTCAAATCGACGCGTCAGGATACTGTAGGAAAAGTCAAAGATTGTTCATTTCTTTGTTAAAATTTTGGTATACCACCAGTTTTAAAATAGAAATAGTTGCACTAAATCATCAGTTTTAAGCAGATTACTTATGGTCTTGACTCTAAAATGATCACGAGATATACAAGGAGTATAGTTCTCTTTGGGATTTGCAGTAACAAACAACGTAACTAAATTGTGACTTCTATAGCTAAGATTCATAATTCTCTATGCTTGTGCGTACTTCATACATGAGTATGGATCAGAGGTCGAAACGAACCGAAAAAATAGAGTTCGGATCGATCCGTCCCGAATCAGTTTCGAATTGGCCCGGTTCGATTCGTTTTTGCTCATCCTCCTCTATGATTCGGCTCGGTTCGATTCGACCTCATTTTTTGTTTTCTGATTCGGTTCGATTCGGGTCAATTCGGTTTTTCCATTTATCGAGAAAATATCAACATTAATAAAAAAACAACTTTTTTATTATGAGATTCTATGGATAATAGTGAATGTGAATTGAGTTACGAAAAAGGAAATGATCCCCTATGGAATCTGCACAAACTCATATTAGTATAACAAATTGAGCGCAGATAGACACAAAAAGCCAGAACAATGGAGGATCAATACAAAAAAA